GCATGGAATATGTCTTACAGCACAGATACACTGAGTGAAAATTTTCATTGAGCCATGCACCAAAATCCCACAAACCATCTTCCTTGCAGTCTATTGCCTGCTTTCACATACCTACAGTATGTGTATGTGAAATTAGTATTTTTATCCCAGTATACATCAACGTACACCTGCTAGTAAGGAATCTCATTTCCCAAGTTAGCATCCATTCCTTTTGTTTCACAAGATCCTTTTGAAGCTCTTCATAATCCATTTCTGTTCTAACCAGACTAATTTTGTGTTATCAACAGATTTCACCAAATCATTAGTGGCAAGTAGGAGTAGTAAGGAAGGGGTCCAGTGGAGGAAAAGACAAAAGTAAAGGTAGACTAAAGCAGGGAGTTATATACTAGTAGGTTTTCCCAGCATCCGTCAAAGACAGTCAGACAAAGCAAAGGACACTCCAGCCAAACAGGAGGAGGTAAAAAGGTAAGAGAGATCACGAAGGGAAACAACACCTGCAAAGTGTGTGCAATGTTTGTCTTCATGCTTGAGAACAACATGGTGTACATAGGTAGCAAGTGCAAACTGGTTGCACTGTTGGAACAGAAAGTGAGAGAACTGGAGCAGCCAGTGGCCCAGGCTTTAGGCTATAAGAGAAGACGAAGAGTACATGGACAGAACTCTCAAGCAACAACAGCCAAAGGAGGCACTGGAGGGGGAAGAACAGCAAGACAAAACAGAGAAGGAAAATGCTGAGAGAGACAAACATGGTGGAACATGCACCATGGAAAAGGGTCACATTTAGCAGCAAAAGCAGTAGACACTCTTCACCAGTGGAAGTGCAAAACTGCTTTGAGATTCTTAAAGGGTCTGGCAGACAACATGCGGAGGAAGACATACAGGAGACCCTCCAGGAGGACATGAGAGAGGGTGAAACTCGGTCAAGTAGAATCACAGCATCCACAGAGGGCACAAAGAAGAGTAGTGGTAGTAGGCGACTCCCTACAGCATGAGATTGAAACTGAAATATGCTGGGAAGATCCATGCATAGATGCAATACAGAAGAATAAAGCTTATACCTTACACTTATACCTTGATACTCAGATATCATCGGGAAGTATTATCTGGTTTCATACTGGAATTAACCCTTCCAGAAATAAAAAGCAGCTGTGATGAACAAGGGCTTCTGATTTTTCCAAGGCATCTATAAAAGTCACTTAGGGCTAAAGGGCTCTTAGGGAGGTGTTCAGGTATCAGATGTTCTGACCTAACAGGATAAGGTTAGCTGGAAATCAACTGAGGTTAGTAAGAAAGGCTAAAAGCCACAAAAAAGCATTCTTCATTTACATACTGTCTTTTCCTCAAAATAAGACAGGGTGATATTAATTTTTGCCAAAAAAACCCACTGTATTACGGCTTATTTTCAGGGGATGTTTTATTTTTTTTATGTACAACAAGCTACACATGAGTGCATTAAGTATTCCATTACAACACAATGCCAAAGTGCAGTTGGCCAGAGAGACGCAAAGAAGAAGATGATGATGGGAGAGGAAGAGGAGGCAAGCTGATGGCAAGAAGCAACCCGGGAAGGAAAAGAGCGGGAAGGCAGTGATGGTCGTGGCACGGGATGGGGGAGGGAGGCAAGGAAGAGAGGTGGAAAGGGCACCCAGCGTGGGTCAGTCACCCAACGGGCACCGTGCAAGATGCTAACACAGCTACGGCTGATGGCTGCTTGCACAAAAGGGGAAACTGGCCGGCTTCTTCTTCCTCGTTGGGAGGGGCGCCCTCTGGGTGCTGCGGCACCCAAACAGTGGCAGACCTCAAAAGTTCCACTTACCAGAGCCACACACTCCCTTTCTCTTTCTTTCTCCCCATCTGGCCAAGTCCTCTTTTTAATCTGTGGGAGCACACGCAAGATCAAGCATGGAAGTTCCCAGCCTTGTCTTTCCTGTCCCACCCCTCCCCCCCGCCATGCCTACCATCCTTCCAATTCCCTGGATGTTTGGCTTCTATTTAACCCTTTCTGAAGGTCTCTCTTCCTGTTATCCTCTCCCTTCTTTAAATGTACCTGGAGCCACTTCCTCCAGGGGTGCCTTCTCCTCCGCCGCTGCCACTGGGAGGTGCCACAGTGAGGCTTGCGTTCCTCCAGCAGCAGTGCCTGGGCTGAGGCTCCCGTTGGGGCTGGCAGGCGCTGGGTTCGTTTTGCAGAAAACAGCAGCAGTGTTGGCGGCTGCAATGGTGGCAGCAGAGGGGGCAGCGTTGGTGTGGAGGGCGGTGGGGGCCCAAAGTTGGCAAGCCCAGTTGAGAGGGCGGTGGCAGCTTCAACGTGACAGCGGCCCTGCCAGCAGCACCCGAAGAGGGAGCCGAATGAGAGGAGGGTTAAAAGAAGTTGAACTTGGAGGATCCCAGTGAGTCCCTGGTGGAGGGTGCGGTTTCACTTAACTAGGGCTTATTTTTGAGGAAACACGGTATGGAGCAAAAAACAGAGAAAGGATACCCAAGACAAAGAAAAGAGAGAAGTGCTCGATCCATACTTTAGCTCAGCTTTCTCTCAAAAGACATTCTTATGACCTTCTAGGTTGAAGATCTGAAGTGGAGGGTAATGGTTGCTGCCCAGAGTAGACTATTTGTCTAGATGGGTGGGGTATATATATAAATAA